TATTTTTATTATATTTATGAGGTAAATTACGACGACGATATTCACAAGAAGTTCTGCGACTCGCGTTTTCTCACACTTGACTACTACGGTTGGAAGGATAATATTGCGCTAGTGGAAGGCCTCGAGATGTTATGTACAATAAGGTATGCATAAACGCATGCATGAGGCAGTTGGCAGTGTATTTATGTTAAGGCTGAGCTTGCGACGGCGCATCCGACGACTGACTCACTTGCTCCTTAGGTGCCGCCGATCGGGAACGTTGTCGGCCAGTAGGAGGAGCAGCTGACTGTAATACCATCGCCCTTATTCGACGTTGCGCCGACTATAAAATAAAACGCAGTAATTTTTTAGTATAAAGTGCAATATTCCCTTAAAAAGGAAACGTGGGATGCTTACTACTTGACTGAGTCAATTCCCCTGCCTTTTGAAAACCTCTCACCTACCTTGTAAACATTTTTTGAACATGCACTACTTCTTTTTGCATTGAGTCTTTTAAGAAATATGTTGGCACACCAATGCTATATAAAGTGTACCCTTAATTTATTTTTCGACTATGTATTTATACATATTATGTGTAGAAGTGATACATATATAATAAGTATATATAAATAATTTATTTTTCGACTATGTATTTATACATATTATGTGTAGAAGTGATACATATATAATAAGTATATATAACGAATTAACCCAAAATTCGCCTGTTTGATGCATTGGTTAAAATCATCATTTTTCGTCAAAATTTGAATATTTAATTTGGATACAATTTACACCCCGTTAGGTGATAAACAAATACTTTTGAATATTGCAACAATTATATGTAACTTGAATGTCAAGCTAATTGTAAGGTGTGTACTTTTATTTTATTACAGATTACTAAAACAGATTGTGAAAGAGGCCATTGGATTATTAAAACTAAGACTTAGTGACCATGTTGTACTTCATTAAATAAATTTGAATAAGTTTAACATTGATCAGTTTGTTTCTTACCTGAACGCTAAAGAAGGGTCCGATAATATGAACAGTGGTTTCGTCTTCAGTTGCCGCGGCAGCTCCCTGTTCCGGAAGCTTTATAACACTACCAGTAACACGTTGCAGTTCACGTACATTCTGCCCTCCCTTACCAATTATACGGCCGACCTGAGAACTAGGAACCATTATTTCCACCGTCAATCTGACATCGTCCGCCCCAGCTACAAATCCTTCCTCACGCATCTTCTCGAAAATTAAATACTGAGCCTGAAAGGAATATTTAAAAATTAATAAGGACATGATTTATTTTGTGTCTACAACAAACTGAACATGATTACTATATTAAGACATTATTCAAGTATTACAAAAATACCTTAAGGCAATTCATTAGTGACAATTATTAAAATGGAATGAAAGTATTTTTCAGATTTTTAAATATCCATAATCCAAAAGCTTATCAGTGGTAAAGTAGAACAAACAGAATAGCTCAAAACCCCAATGCCAAAACACGACACTGTAGTTGTCCGAAGCACTTTTCGGTAACAAAGTTACCTTCTTCAGGGACTGAAGTAAACTTTTACAACAACCGCCAAAGTTTTTCCAATCTTCATATTTAGTGGTAAAGTGTACATAATTTTGTTTCACACATAGAAATCAAAATAATTCTAATAGGCTTTTATGCTACAAATATTCGAATGTTCCATGTATAAGCAAATAAACACTAATTTAATAACACCAATTTTATTTATTGCCATTAGTGAGATATTACTTACTTTCCATTGTGCTTCGGGTGATCCAACAATGGTGACTTTTCTTTCAGCTTGCGCGTCTTGGGGACGGCTTTCGTCAAGAGGAGCTATCTTAACAGAGGCCCCAGAGAATCGAATAATGTTACGGATATGTGATCCTTTGGTGCCGATTATCGCTCCCACTGCATTGTTCGGTATATACAGATAAGTTGTTTCCGGAGTCTCAACAGCTCCTGTAGGAGCACCTGCAGGATAAATGCCCGGATACGGCGCCTGTCCTGCGTACAGACCCCGTGAACCATATCCGATGCCTGCTGTGGCCATCATGGCCATTGGATGTAAGCCAGGGAACATCATTGTCTGAGGTGCCATGGCCTGTAGGTCATTTTCGTAACTTTGCCGCAGTTTTGCACTAATTTGAGCCTCGGCCTTGCTCATGTTCTCGATCGTGCCTTTCACGGTAATGATGCGTTCTAGATTAAACGAACTTATATCGTTAATACTTGATACAGTTATTTTGGTATCAGTCTCTTGCATGATCCGTTTAATTGTGTTACCACCCTTGCCTATTATCCGACCGATTAAGTTATTATGCGCAAGAATTTTCAAACAGATATCTCTGAAAGAGAGGATAATATTTATATTAATATAACTTCAATTTTATTTATTATTAATGTAGAAAAAAGGGATAAAATGGCACACATTGATGCCATACTCGTACTTTAAGCTAACCTGCACTCAACTTCGCAATACATTCATATTAAATCCACTATTTTTTTTTAACTAATTGTAAGTAAAAAATGAATTATAAATATAAAAGGGTTAAAAGTATTCATTAAAATAGAGAATATTAATTTATTATTTTAATCCTTGTAAGATAATTTTGAAGGAAAACTCAACAAATCGTAAGTTTCTAAAGAACTCAGAACAAGTTCATTAGGTATAGGTAAACACAAATAAGTAAAAAAAATTAAAAATTGTTTGTTATTACAACAATTTCAGAAAGAAGTTAAAGTTAATAAAGGTTGTCTTATATTACTGACAAACAAAAAATTAGCCCTAGGGTATTCTAAATACACAGGGTCNAGTAATTACTTAAAAAACAACATAATTACTATAAAATAGTGAAAAAAAGTAATTAATAATTTTTGTTACAATAACTCTCTTTTGACTAAAAAGCAGTTATACATTATTAAAATATTTTAAATTATGTATCTTGACATATCTTGAACGTTTGAATTTCGATTTAGGAATAAATTTTGCATTGATATTCTTTTTGGTGTGGGTTTAGATTACAAAAAAAACTATAGTAGCTTTCCATCCATATAAGGTTACATAAATGACACACATACCCATTAAATACATGTATGATGTGTTACGTCAACATCGAAGCTAGGAATATACTTATACGGTTTACGGTACATTATGCCTATATGCATGTAATTAAACAAGACAGTAAGTCAGATTGTACACTCATACCCTTTGTTCGTGTTATTGGCCTCTTGTTGCATAACTTCGAGGATATGTTTACAAGCGTTTGTGCAGTTTTCGGGATTTCCGTAAATCGTTATGGCTTTTTCTAGCGATCCGACGTTGTCTTTACGATGAACGTCCACGCGCGCTCTCGTTTGTTGAGTAATTTGTCTAATTGTTGAACCTTGTCTACCGATAATGGCACCCACCTGAAATAAAAACATTTACTTTAATAATATGAACATTTTGCAGATATTTTAGATAAAACAATCAGCTTCGTTTCCCGCATTATCTTTAAATTTTTTTATCAATTTAACAACAGGTGAAGTAAAACTTTTGGGGCCGTCCATAAAATACGTTACCCAGAATTTCACCTTTTTGAACCCCTTTCCCCTCTTACGTCACGCTAAATCAAACTTTTAGTTCTCCCTTAATAAATATTACGTCAGAAAAGCTAGTCCACTCCTGCTATGAACGATTTTTTGTGACTAAAATTTGTCAATTCCACATAGGGTTGCGATGATTTTAATCAATCGATTAACATCATGATAATCAAAAATAAAAACGGAACTTGATTTTTATGATAATTGGAGATATATCAATAAAAACATAAAAACTAGCCAAAATTAGATTTACCAAAAAAAAA